CATACTTCGTTCTTTTCTTGCCTTCTTTTTTAAGTTCTTCATATTACTTTCATGCTACAATCATGCGATAATCAGCTTAGCACCGCAGAAGCTAAGAAGTTGGAATTTGGCAAGAATGTTAGCTAAAATGCCAGAGAAGTAGCTCAAAATCAACCCTCACGGGATGCACTTGTGTCTCACTTGCGGAATTCATGCAAATTTTTGGCGGGAAAGCGATTTCGGGAACCAGAGGTGTCGAGAAGTTGAAATTTCACAGGGATATTCTATGTCCTTATTTGAGCGAAAGATTTCAAATTCAGCTTTAACACACGACTACGCTTGCCTTTTTTTGTTACTGGGATAGTCAGAAATCGCTGTAGCGGAAGGGTGAATAAAGTGTTTGATTAAGGAGCTTCACTCAGGTCTACATGCAATCTTTTTTTTTTTTTACTATTTTACGACATATTAGGCAGGACAGTGGAGAAGACAGTTGTTTGAGGGCACCCAAAAGAAGTGTCTGTTTGTTGTCGGTGTTGATTTTAGCGGGGATACCTGGCGATTTTTGTTAACCAACCAGTCACTGAATTTTTAAATCTCTCAGTTCAGCAATCAGTTATTGTTCTAACCATGAAACCAATCAGCTAATAAAGATTGAAAAGAAGATATTAAGAAAAGAAGAAAACAAAGGAAAAGAGGAAAAGGACAATAAAATGAGAAAGGTGTTTACAGAAATATTTGTAATAGGTAAGAAATGTTTCGGTTCATTAAGTCGTATACATTTCTTATCATTACCACAATTGGTCCTCGTCAGTACGACGATTGTGGCAACAAAATAATTTCGTAAGGTATATAAAGATAAAAAGATGAAATTAATTAAGATAAAGATCTAATAATTTCACGAGTTATCAGAATATGTGGGGACATTTCTGAGATTTTTCTTTTTTTAGAAGCGATTGTGATGGCAACATTTTCTGGCATTTGCTACGAGACCATGTCGCTGGGAAGATTGCCATGGAGCGAACTGAGCAGGTATTTTTATATGCTAAAAAATAACTTTATAATTCTCAATACTTCTTGAGATTTACCGGTCCCTATTTACTGAGGGCCGTGTTTCGCATCTGATGGTGAATAATGATGCACGCATGAACGAAAGGCCGTTGATGGAAGGATTTTGGAGCGCTATGGTACTGGATTCGGCAAGTGAAAAGTGCTGGCATTTGTTCTAGAACAAGGAGCAAACTTGGCATAGTTACACTCAACATTTATTCCGACTGTTATTAGGTAGTGCAAATGTATGTGTAGAGTTATATCAGTTTGTAAAAACCTCCACTCACTTCTCCCGAACTTCAGTTCCGCTTCTGATTTGCTAGGGAGACAGGCGCCAAGTCTTCGACTCTGGGTTGATAATCTGTGATGTTTGACTAACGGAGAATATATGCCGTTGTTGTATTTGTGTATGTGTGTATGTATGTTTGTGTGTGCGTGTGCGTGTATGTGTGTGTATGTGTGTGTGCGTGTTTGTGTGTATATGTGTGTGTGTGTGCGCGTGTGTGTGTGTGTGTACTTGTGTGTGCGTGTATGTATGTGTGTGTGTGCGTGTGTGTGCGTGCGTGTGTGTGTGCGTGTGTGTGTATGTGTGTGTATGTGTGTGTGTGTGTGTGCGTGTTTGTGTGTGTATATGTGTGTGTGTGTGTGTGCGTGTGCGCGCGTGTGTGTGCGTGTGCGTGTGTGTGCGTGTGTGTGTGTAATAAATTTACCCTAACTCGGTCGGATCGTCGCGTTAAGATCGGCCTCGCAATCGCTCGTCCAGTGTGCAACCTTCGTCTCTACACCTCGTTAAATAAAGTCCCCTTCCACCTCTTCGTTTTTGGTCCAGACAATTCAGCGTCGAGAGCAACAACGACGTAACACCGACAAAATCGAGCGATTGGCTAATCTAATTATCGCATGATTGTAGCATGAAATTAATATGAAGAACGTAGAAAAGAAGGTAAGAATAGAACGAACTATGTAATGCAAGAGGTAGAAATATTGCTGGTACAGGAGAAATAAGTACGAGAGAGTTAAGACGTTTCGGCCCATGAAGTCATATACGTCTTAGCTCAACACCGCGGCTGGACCTCGTCATTATGACGGTCGCAGTGTTCAGAGATGAGAAGAAGAGGGAATGGAACACAGGAAGAAAGAATAAGAACAGGCAGATTTTTTTTAAAAAGTGTAAATTTAGGACATTTGAAAAGGATTAGAAGGTTGTAATGTGGAAATGGGGAAGTGTCGAGAGGTGGAAGTGGCAGTGTGGAAGGAACGCTAACAAGACGACTTGTACGTGCATGTTGGGTGGTACAGTTATTGTAGAAGAGCGTGCACCAGACGTTGACAGTGGGCCACCGTAGGAGGGAAATATTTAGAAAGGTGGTATGTATTTCTGTGCACAGATGTGATTGACTAGACGACTAATGTTATGAGAAGAAAGTCCCTTCTGTGAGTAGTGGAGGAAAAGACGACGAGCGGACGTGACAAACCCTTGATAGGTCTTTTTAAACGAAATTTAAAAGTTTTAACTTTCGCTTCTAAGGGGCA